GTTTAGGGCTTAGGGTTTTTTTAGGGTTTAAGGTTTTTTTAGGGTTTAGGGTTTAGGGTCTAAATCCTCCGAAGCTTCCCCGCCTTAGAGGTCGTGGAAAGCCGTACCCCGTACCGCAAAAGACTCGATAGAAAGGCTTTCATCGAATAGCATTTCGAGGCATATTCCTAACCATACCAAGGAAGGAACCCTAAGGAATAGTCCTACGAATTCTTCGGACCTCGATAGTAGAACCCAAAGATAAACCCTAAACCCTAGGCCCTTAACCCTAAACCCCAAACCCTAAATCTTAGACCCTAAACCTAAATCTTAGACCCTAGACCCCAAACACTAAACCCTAAACCCTAAAACCTAAACCCCAAACCCTAAACCTTAGACCCTAAACCCAAACCCTAGGGCCCTAGGTCCGATAAAAGCGGACACCGAAACACGCGGCCCTGGACCTGCATCCGTGGAACCTGACCGTCCTGGACCCTGGAACCTTTGAAGACTAGTAGGGTTTAGGGTTTAGGGTTTAGGGTTTAGGGTTTAGGGTGTACGGGTTTAGGGTTTAGGGTAGGATTGTTCTATGTCGCATTACTCTAGTATTGGTGTAGTACCATGAACTGCAGTATAGTGATATAGAGCAATTTAGAGTTATTCTTCTTATGCTACTATGATTCTTATGATTCTTATGATTCTTATGGTTCTTATGATTCTTATGATTCTTATGATTCTTATGATTCTTATTCTTCTATGATTCTTATGATTCTTATGATTCTGGTTGCTTTGAATAAGACCCCCAATGTTCAGGCCCATTTGGCGAGGGGCCGCCCTCGGCGTAGGAGTCTGGCTCGGGGACTAGGAGCCTGGGCTGCGGGGGTTTCTTAGGGTTTCAGGGTTTAGGGTTTTAGGGTTTAGGGTTTAAGGTTTAGGCTTTAGGGTTTAGGTTCTGTTTCTGTCGACACAGGCTTCGGAAAATAAGGGTACTAAGCAAGGGTACTCTACGAGTACTATAAATGTTGAGTGTTGAGGTTCTAGGATTCTAGGCCCTAAACCCTAAGCCCTAAAACCCCTAAGCCCTAAAACCCCTAAACCCTAAACCCTAAACCGCTAAACTTTAGGGTTGAGGACGTCTGGCAAAGCCGGTTGGAGGTTTGGGAGGAGCTTTACACGGAGCTTATTTGGTTTTACGAGTACGTGGGTTTAGGGCTCACAGGGTTCGGGTTTAGGGTTTAGGGTTTACATGGGCCTCACAATCAAGGCTTTCACATGGGCGTTGCACAGGTTATACAAAGGGTGTCATGGGATGTGGTGCGGGTTTGCTTGTCCCTTCATAAACTCGTGCAAAAGGTGTTGCAGAGCAGGTACAGCGTCGCCTAGGGCCAGCAGATCTCAGTAGTGTTCTGACTGCGCTGTTTTGATGTGACGCGGGTTCATAGCAACACTGCGAATAAATAGGCGATTCTCATCATGACTGCCATGATGGTACGACTGCCTTGGATTTGATGGCCTCTACACCTGTTGCAACCCCTTAATGTAGGAAACTGATTAAGAAACCCTGGCCCTATAACCCCAAAATAGTAGGATTCATATAAAGAACCCCAGAAAGAGATCCAGAGACCCAGAGTTTCTTAATCAGGTTCCTACATTACCTCCAACCCCACACTTGTCGACCACTCGCTCGCTCAAGTCATTCCTATCAGCGTGTCCCAGAGACCAGTTCAGTCTAGAGTTTACTTGGAGGATCATGGGACTTAGTAACTAGGGATATAAATAAGGTAACTATACTTAAACTAATTATAGCCCCAATGAAGGTAGTCGTAACATTACTCACTAAGTCCCATGATCCTCCAAGTAGGGTCTGGGATTTAACGACGCCTCCCTGTGTAGAGGATGTAAAGGGGATGGGAATCTCGCAGGGTGCAGAGTTTACACTAACCCATCGTCGCTTTAGGCTTCGATTCTCCTTGAAGTATGAAGGGGAGGTTCTCTGAATCAGGGTTGAGTCTACGGTGCCTAGGTAGATCACACGTGACACTGTAAGGACACTGCATAGTGCTGTACGAAAACTCCCACCACCACGACCACCACCACCACAACGACGACTACTACTACTACTACTACTACTGCTACTGCTACTGCTACTGCTACTGCTACTACTACGACGACGTACTTACTACTAACTACTACTCTAAATAATACTGCTGCTACGACTTGTCTTGCAGCTGTTGGTGCCAGTACCATCACCACCACCACCACCTCCTCCT